AGACAAAGGATTGGCAGGGTTTGTGCAAACATTTGTGGTCTTTGATACATAGAGGTCAAGTTGCCGAGGTGCAGGGTATTGACAGTGTCTGCTACACTCTTTTTTCCCCTTTTAAGTTGTCGACTATCCATGAGTCTTTGATTTTGAAAAAGTGAAACTGTCTTTACCGTCCTTAGCATAGTCTAGGCCTGTTTAACTTGGCATATATCCCTGTGCCTTGGCGGAAGGAAAGATTTGCATTTCTTAAAACCTTGCAATTTGAGAGAGAAATCACGAATTATAGGACCACCTTAAAACCTTTACATCCTGAGATAAGGTAGAGACATCTGCATTTTGTCAAAAGGATTCCAGCCCTTATAGAATTGAAATTGTTAGCTGCCTGTAATAATTTGAGCTACAAATAGAATACAGCTTTTTCTCTTTGTCCTGGATTCCCAGGAGTTCTAAAAGTGATACTTTCTTGCACAATACCTTATTGCAAACAAAATATGTTTTGCTCTGGTATTCAGTAGCTGTCTCTGCATTGTGCTTTGAAGGAATGGAGCTGAGAATTTCTCCTGTAGGAAGCTCCTTGAGCTTGGATGAAAGGGCAGAATAGGAATAAAAGCAGCTTGTGCCCAGGCTCTGTCCTCAGAGGGAGGTGTCTACTTTGGTCAAGAAACTGGTCATTCCTTCTACAACTAGGAGTGAGATTTGTTAGGGGGTATCAGAGCTGTGTTTAACATAGGAGTAATTATGTTCCTGAATACTCTCCCCCAGACCCTGTGAATTTTAAGGTTTTCTGATCTGGATGGTGGGAAGAGGCACTATTCCTGGCCTTATGTGAGCACTGGGGACCTTTCCTTCTAATCCTTCCAGGGGATTCTCTCCCTAGCCTTGGGTAGATAGTCCCATGCATGAAGCACTGATCAAGTTCTTCTGAATTATGGAGGACTCCTTGAAGATTCAACCACTTTGATTTCTGCATAGTTCTCTCCTTTACAGGATTCTGTCCTTAAACTCTGGCTGCTTTGTTTTGCCAAAATTCTTGAGTTTTGTCTCCTCAGAGGAAGGAATCTTCTGGTCACTGCCTGGATCTCCTCTCTTTGCCATCTGCCTGGAAATTCCTCCCAGGTAGTAAGGTGGGGCAACCATCTCTTTTACCCTATGTCTTAGGGATCACTGTCCTTTATTTTCTGATGGCCACTGTCTTGAAACTATCATTTTCATTTATTTCATCTGGTTTTCATTGTTCCACGTGGGAGGATAAATTCAGTCTACATTACTCCATATTTTCTAGAAATGGAAGTCTCTATTCTTTTTAAACCAAGGCTTATTTAGTAATATATTCTTTAATTTCCTTTCATTACTAACGTTTGGCTCTCTCTTTAACCTTAGTCATGGCCAGACCCTATACTCTGTCAAGATAGATAACTATAAATCTTCCTGAATTTCAGTTTTGAGATTTCTACTCTGTGTCTTAACTTGCCAGCTCATTTTTTTTTTTTTTTTTTTTTTTTAAAGACAGAGTCTCACTGTGTTGCCCTGGGTAGAGTTCTGTGGCATCACAGCTCACAGCAACCTCAAACTCTTAGGCTTAAGTGACTCTCTTGCCTCAGCCTCCTAAGTAGCTAGGACTACAGGTGCCTGCCACAACGCCTGGCTATTTTTTGTTATAGTTGTCATTGTTGTTTAGCTGGCCTGGACTGGGTTCAAACCTGCCAGCCTCAGTGTATGTAGCTGACTCTGTAACCGCTGTGCTATGGGTGCTGAGCCAAGCCAGCTCATTTTCTACAGCACCCCAGTACTAACACTCCTTCAACCTCTTGTAACCCCAAGTTCGTAGATCCCTCTTTTGTTGTGCCTCTCTCTGCCTCACAGCCTTCTCCAACCTCATGACTTCCTGACTCATCCTCCCTCCTTGGCATAGGCTCTCAAACATTTCATTCCTCTTTTCCTTTGCCGTGTTCTCTGAGCCTTGGTAAAATACAATTCTGTGTCTCTCTCTGCTTATATTCATAAAGCTGAAAGTGGCTAGAAAAATGCACAAAATTGCACTGATTGTTCTTGCTGGAAATTCATTACTGCAAACTTCAGTGGAGCTATTGCTTCTGCTCTGTGATCCCCTCATACGTTCATAGGCCGTTCGCTCTTCCCCACTTTTGTAGGGAATATTTTTTCTTTCTTTCCCTCCTTCCCTTTCTCGCTTTCCCCCTTCCCTTCTTCCCTTTTCCCTCTCTCACTTCTTTCCTTTTTGTTTTTTTCTTTCTATTGGGACAGAGTCTTGGTCTGTTGCTCAGGCCACAGCACAGTGGCATCATCATAGCTCACTGTAGTGTCCAACTTCTGGGCTGGAGCGATCCTCCCATCCTAGCCTCCTGAGTAGCTGGGACTACAGGTCTGCACCACTGTGCCCAGTCTCTCTCTCTTTTTTTTCTTAAGCTTCCTATGCTAACCTGCAACACTACCTTCTCCACTCTCACACTAATGACCTTGCTTCCTATTTCTGTCACGTAGTTGAAACAACCAGCAGAGCACTTCCACAGCACCCACCACTGCGTCTCCCTCCTGCTGTATCTGCTCCCTGACGCTCGCCAAGCTCACCCAGCCATGTTTCCTGCTACAGCAGCTTGGTTCTCAGGCTCCTACAGTAAGCCAACTCTGACGTTCTATCCGCCTTCTTCACCTCCACTCAGGCATCATCTCTGCAATCTGCTCCATCTCTTGCCCACTTCCTCCATCATCATTTGTTCTCAACTGGCTTGTTCTTGTTAGTATACAAGCTTGCAACTTTTTAAGAATATCTTCTTTTGACCCCAGTTATCCTGTTAGGTTGCTAGGTGATGCTCACAGGTACTGCCTCATGCTTCTAATTCCTTGATGACAAAAATCTTTGAAAGGATTTTTTTCTATCCTCACTTTATGACCAGTACTATATATTACATGGGATGGCCATAAAGTTCATGTGCAATTTTAAATTGCATACTATTCTAAATCGCACACCAACTTTATTGGCCACTCTGTACATTAAATGTTGTAGATTATGTTTATATATCACTTTGGGCTTTCAATTTGCTCACATTTTCAGTGATTTTTCCTCTTCCTTTCTTATCTATCTTAGCATTCACTTATTCTTTGTATAATTCTATTTCTCTATACTATTTTAGAAATTGTACACTTCGTTTCTTATTTTTAGTTGTTTAATTTTTAAGTTTCTCTTGCCATTTTAATAAATATGTATAACTTAAAATTATTGAACACTTTTTATCATTCTTCTGAAAAACATGAAGATATTTTACCTTAAGTCCAATTGCCTGTTTCCTTACTAGATGTTTGATGTAGTATTTTTTTTTTTTATCATTTTTAAGCCTAGCATAGTAGATATTATTACTATTTTTTTACACAGGTAATATTTACCCACATGTTTACCAGTTTCTTTTCTCATTTTTCCTTTTTTGCAACATAATTTCTTCTTCCTGAAATATTTTTTAGAAGTTTCTTTACTGAAGAGAGTTGATGATAAATACTCTTAGTATTTATTTACTTGAAAAGGTAGATGGCATAAGATATGGGTCAAATTTTGTTTGTTTATTTTTGTATATGGATGTCTAACTGCTCCAGAACCAAGTGTTGGAATGGCTATCTTTTCTCTATGAGATTGCCTTGACATCTTTTTTGAAAAATCAATTGATCATGGATGGGAGAGTCTGTTATGTCTCTCTATTCTGTTCTGCTGATCTTATGTCTATATTTTTGCTAAAATCACACTGTCATGATTACTACAGCTTTATATTAAGCTTTGAAATCAGGTAGTATGGGTCCTGAAAAATTGTTTTGGCTAATTCGATTCACTTTGCTTTTCTATATAAGTTTTAAAATTAGCTTATCAATTTTGATGTAAAAAGCCTACTAAGTGTTTGCTTCTGCAGCACATATACTAAAATTGGAACCATACAGAGATTAGCATGGCCCCTATACAAGGATGACAAGCAGATTTGTGAAGCATTATATGTTTTTATATAGGAGGTGGCGGGTTCAAACCCAGCCCCAGCCAAAAAGAGCCTACTAAGGTTTTGTTTTTGATGGTATTGAATCCCATAGATCAATTCAGGGAGAATTGACATGTTAACAATAATGAGGCCTCCTTTACCTCACTTTTAAAGTAACATTTAAAATAACACCAACAGAAATTCTGGGAAGATGGCCAACTGGTAGCAACCCTTGTCAGAGGTTCTTGAACAAAGGAAGAAAAACTGGACGGAACCAGACTCTACAAAGCCAAAAACAGGGAGCTGAGCCAGGAAAGAAGTTTGGCAAGCTGTAACTCCAAGGAAGAGCATTCAAGAAAACAAATTACAGGTACAAAGCCTATGGACTAGAGGATGGGAGATGCCTCCCCCAAGCAGGAGGCCTGCCACAGGCTATCTCTGAA